ATTCCAAATATTTTTTAGTAATATTTAATAAAGAAGTTAATATTAAATAGTCACTAATTAAATATCAAGTTTTAAAAAAACTATTAAAAACCAAATTTTATAATGTACTAAAATACAAATTCAAATCATCTGAATCTAGCAAAGTTTTGATATATAAACATACTTATCATATACAGTATCTAAATTTATTAAATAATTCATGTTCATTTTGTTTTAAATTTTATAAAAAAATTTGCAAGCTTATAAAATCTTATCTAGACCATTTAAAAATTAGAATTCATAATAATAAAAGAATTTCACATGAGAATGATGATGAAGCCAATAATAATAATAATGTGAATGAATATAAAAATGATAATAATTATGATATTAGTTACATTGAAATAGATACAATATAAGTAATCATCTTAATGAAGCTTTATATATGTTTTAAATATCTATTTATTCTTAAATTTGATGCAAATGTTTAAATAATTATGTTTATTTTTGCTTTTTTGCTTACAATAAAAATAAAATTGATATAAATATAATTATTTTGCATTGATAGAATAATGTTACACAAAATATAAGCATATGATTACTGTATGTAATCATTAGCCAATCACAGAAATCTTCACCTATGCTCATCAAACGCAGTACATCGTAGATCTATCAAAAATGTAACCGCCCCCGTAAATTAATTGTCAGGTGACTTCGGTAACTCCAAATTAAGGCTTCCCGGGCCGCACTGGCCACACCGGCTGCAAAGGCATTTCTGACCAGAAGGGCTAGGTAGGAGTTATTGTTAGTAAGGGGGAAAAGGGCGATGTAGCCAGCATGGCATAGTAGCCCCACGAATGTAAATAAAGAGTTTTATTATAAATAAAGGCCGTGTTGGCCCTTTGAGACGATATCGAATGTCTCCTTTGATTTAATAAACCTAAGACCCTAATACCTAAAACTGTAAATTCGCTAAAACCCCTAACCACTGAACCCGTGTTATTAAAACCCCGAATTATATTGAAACCCTGTCCGGCTGTTGTATCCTAAAGTAACAGAATCAGTCGTGGTTTTCGTCCAATTATCCCGAAGTACTGAGGATAAGTTGTGGTTATATCGTTGTCCAATTACCCGAAGTAGTGAGGTAATTGAGATTATAGATAATAAAGAATCGGTACAGAAGAAACCCAAGACAAGTAACAAAAGAAGACTTACCTACGGACATCCAAACCACTCGCCAAATCTAACACGCCTCTAACGACTAAGCCGCCTGTAGGTACAGTAGATTAGTGTTGTTGAGTATCGAGACATAAGGATTGACAAATCACAATATCAACACCCTTTATAATGAACCTTTTTATAATACCGAATTAAAAATTTAAAATTAAATAGTTTTGTATAGAGAGTGCCAACTGTATTCATATTTCTGTTATATCTTCATTTCACAAAAGAAAAATAGAAAACATTCAAATACAGAATGGTTGACAAAGCACATCAAAAAGAAATTTTAAGAACGTACTGTACATACTGAAATAAGAGATCATTGTGGCTGATTAATGCGCCATCAACCTGGCACACATTCAAGAATTGCATTTGAGATTTGGAATTACATTTGGGTTTTAGCAAAAGCCAGAATCCCGACCGAAAACTGCCGTAAGTGACAAAACAATGCCGAAATAGTTTGGGTGACATCTCTAATTATTACTGTATGTAAACAGATTAATTCATTTATTTTAAATATTTAGAATTAACTTAAATAATTTACTATAGGTTTACTTAGTATTCTTGGGCTTGTCTGAGTATTTTTTTTAAGGCCCAGATCTTGCCCATTACTTGTATGGGCCTACCTAAGCCTGGCCCATTCCCCACCCCAATCAATCATATAACTCTCATATCATAAAATGCAAGGTAGGTATTATCTCTTTATTCTATTGGTTGAAGTAAATATAGAATGAGGAAAAACAATATCCGCTTTGCTAAATAAATGACAATATAGATAAGAAAGTATAGTAATATGTTGAATAAAACTTAATTTAAAAGTGTAAAGATTTATCTTAAAAATATAACGATTATTTCTTTTTTTTTGATTTAAACCCTGTAAGATAATAATAATGAATAATGGATAAAGGATAGATAAGAATAACGTATAACAAATAATATACACTGTATAAATAACAAATAAATGTCTGAAACCATTCTGTGAAATAATAATAAAACCATTAGGGTCCAATTAACCCTTCCAATGTGAAGGTATAGTTTGGCCATAATTATCGCCTGAAAATTTATTAAACAGTATCAAATATATATATGTTCACCGAAGAAAATAAGACATAAGATTTAATGATAGCAAAATTATTTATAAACTCACTTCCAGAAGGCTTCGTTATGAGTCTCCAGTGCAAGTATATCATACAACAGATTGTCCAATTCCAAAGGTAGATTCTTGAAACTCTTGGCCATTTTTTTGGCAAATGCGAGATGCAGAATGCAAATTAAGATCATAAATCATTTTGTGTTTATCTGAATTATCTTCGTTATAGGTAATTTTTTCAAGATCTTCATAAATAGTTAGAGCATCTGGACGCTTTGCAGGATCCTCATCCCAGCAAAATTCATAAAGTTTAACATATTCATGCGGTGTATTTTCTACAGAAATTTCTCTTTCTTTATTATGTATAAGATGGACTACTCCTGTATTCTGTACAGATTCAAAGGGCTTTTTTCCACTTGAAATTTCCCAAAGAATGAAGCCTAGGCTATATATGTCAGATTTTTCATTGTATTTCAAAAAGTTGTCACGTTTATATAAATTTTTAGAATCATCATCATAAACTTTAGGCTCAATAAAGGCGATTTCTAGATCATTTAAATCTGTTATCATCATTTTTTCTTCGTGAACTAAAATGTTTTTAGTGTGCTAATAACAATTAAATAAACATGTTAATTGGAATATATTATGTAAAAATATAAATATAAAAAGAAGCATACTAAATTCCCATGAACAATATTATTTCTATGCAAGAAATTAAGACCACATGTTATCTCCTCAGCAATACGTAATTTATCCTTCCATTGTAACTTTAAAAAGTTTCTTTCTAAATATTTTCGTAAATTGCCTCCATCAGCAAATTGCACTACCATATTATACTCGTCATTCAAGTCTATTAGTTAGCAATACACAAATTATTACTAGGCATATAGAATTGCATAGAAAGCAATGAAACTTTTACCTTTGGTAATTCCATAGAATTGTGTAATATTCGGATGAAATCCGACTTTTTGGAAATTTTGAAGCTGCAGATTTAAAAAGCAAAATTCCAAACTTTTAATAATAAAAATAGACAATAAAGATTCACATTTTGTAATCATACTTTTTTAAAGAACTCCTTATTATCTCTAGTTTCATAAACATTTAGCCTTTTAAAAATGACTAATAAATTACAATCCGTCCATTTAGCTTGATAAACGTTTCCGCTTTCTCCAATTTTTATGAGATCAGTAAAATCAGAATGATTATAATATCTAATATGAACACCAGAAAGTTCAATTTTCAAAGGACCTGCCCTCTATTTATCGATGACCGAATGTACGTGTGCAAACACAATTTGATTTAAAATTCAGGGTCATGAGTTAGAAAACTTTGTCGAAAATAATATAAACGTACCGAATGAGAATTAAAATTCTGCAAAGTACCGTGCATACTAATGTTAGGAAGAAATTTTCTTGTAAGATCTTGCCAACTAAGAAATTTTGTCAATTAAGAGATTTTGTCAATTACTAATTAACGAAATTTATCCATTGCAAGATAAATAATGTAAAGATCGGATTTTGACCAACTTTAAAATAATAATCGAAATTGTTAGATTGATGCTTTTTCCAATATCAACTTTCTTCAAATTTTTTATCTTTTGAAGAAGAAATACTACGGCATACAAGACTCAAAATTTTTTACAAATACGTCTATATATGATTGTAACATTATCACATAGTATAGGATCGTAACATTAATGCTGTAATGTTAAATGCATGCATATATAATCACCGGTACTGCCGACAATCATTTCACCGAACGCATTTAGCCGACATCACATAGGGTTAGGATTAGAATTTGATTAGTTGTGGAAATCTAATTTTAGTAAATTGTCACTTGGCGTGATGTCGGCTAAATGAGCTGTCGGTGAAATGATTGTCGAAGGCAGATCCTAAAAAGCACATAGGTGCTGGATTAATTTTGCTGCTGCAAGGAAATATTAAATACATGCATATATACAGGTATAAAGAACACATAACTGCGGGACAATTTTGGTGGTTTTTGTTTTTAAAATTTATTAAAAAAAATTTTTTTTAAAAAAAAAAAACAAAAACAAATGACTTTAGACGACGACGACGGCTACTACCGGAAACCTGATGGCTTCACCGAGTTCGAAAAGATAGGAGAAGGTGGATCTAGTATTGTTGTTAAAGCCAAATGGCCTGATCTTGGTAAAACTTCAGATTTATGCGTACTTAAGATGATCAAAGATACGTGTGAATTTGGATTTGATAAAGAGGTATTATGATTAAAATTATTTAAAGATATAATACATTTATTATCTCTTCAAATTTCGTACAGTATCTATATGCTGATTATTAAGTTCGGATTTTTTATTCACATGTGTTGGTATTAAATTGACAGTTAAGGTACATACTGCACGTACATCTTTTCTTCTTTTTTTTTTTTTAACTAACTGGCCAAGTTGCGTGGTTCTATCATTGATATTATTATTTTATCTGAAGTGAGAAAGAGTCCTAGACTAGCACTACGTAGAGATGGACATGACTCGAGTCGGTCCAACTCTACTAAAGGTGTGAGTGAGTCGAGGTGTGAACGAGTCGACTCAAATTGCGACTCACTGCGTAACCACCTTAGACCTTACACTGAAATAGAGCCATAACAGTTTAAAATATATATATATCGATATTGTAATTTGGTCGTTAGTTAAATGTACAGTACGTACTGTACCTTAATCAGTGTGAATTAACGTGTAAAATCAACCTTTAAAAAATCCAAACATATTTTCGCCCAATTGTGATTCTGAATTGCGGTTCGAATTAAGTCACACCGTGCTGAAAGTCTATACTCAACGATTACATGAAATGTTTCAAATTTTAAATCACTATAACGATAACTTTGCACATGAAATTTTAAAAAATTTGAAACATTTCGTGTAACCGTTGAGTATTAGACTTCCATATCAAAAGAAAGAATTCTAAAAATGTCTCATCGGCTTTTATTAACTGTATTAAAAAAACAGAATAAGCCGATTTGCATCTCCATGATCAGCTGCTAGATATGTGAATACGGAATTTTGAAAATTGCGATAAATCTTTTTTTTAATAATAATGTTTTCACATGATATCCACAGTTTCAAATTTATAAAACTATACTGGGTTGCAGCATTGATGCGCATCCAAATATCCTTAAATTCTACGGAATAACCCATGGCAAGCCTCTTTAATTTTTTTTTATACGTGTTTTCGAGAATTGGGTGTTAATACATACATATATATATATTATTAGTGCAAGAAAAAAATTGCTTAATCTTAGAATTGGCGCATGAAACTTTACGGGAATATTTGAAAAATAATTTAAAATGGCAAGATAAATTGAATATTTCCGAGAACATAGCATCTGGTCTCAAATTTTTGCATAAAAATAACATCATCCACAGAGATCTAGTATGCTTATTTATATTGTCTTGTGGTTTAAATAATAATGTATATTGTAATTAACTATAATTAAACCTTTTTAGCATACAAAGAATATCTTAGTTCAAAAGAAGGAAACCAGAGTAACAATTAAAATAGCAGATTTTGAACGTTCTTCATATGCGTCTTTCGAATTAGACAATCCAGACCAAAATCATCATGGAATTATTGCCTTTATTGAACCTAGACTTTTAAACGATGCTTCATATATTGTTGATGAAAGATCAGACATTTATAGTTTGGGTGTTGTTTTATGGGAAATCTCAAGTAGGAGACCACCTTTTGAACATGTACAATCAGGAACAGAGCTTATTTTGCAAATTCTTATTTATGGAAAAAGAGAAGCACCCGCAGAGGGCATACCGCCAAATTTTGTGGAAATTTATGAATCTTGCTGGAATAATGATCCACAAAAACGTCCTTCGGCACTTGAAGTCTTCGAAAAATTAAAACTTATGAAGGAAGCAACGCCGTACAAATCTGCCTATGTTTGATTAAGCAACAGTATGATTTTATTTTTATTTTCCAAACCCCAAACCCTAAGTCAACGCCTGTGAATGCACTACAATCTTCTGGAGCCCATGTTACGTTATTATTATTATTATTTTATTTGGTTTAATTTTATTTTGTTTTTATTTTTTATTTTGTTTTTATTTTGTTTTTATTTTATATTTTTTTTATTTTCTCCTACCTCATTTTTTTTTATTATGATATTGAATGTTATTATGGCTCCAGAAGAATTAAACACCTGAATGTGGTGCATTCCATCGTTATTTTTCCAATTAAGCTTTATATGCTGGTGAAATTAATTTCACCAATTTCACCAATTTCACCAATGGTGGTAAAAATTATTATGCTCTAATTTTTTTCACCATCTTTAGATGTGTGCCTAAATTCAATAAAGAAAATTTCATAATAAAATCAAGATGAATGATTTTTACTGAAGTTTGCTTTTTGAATTTAGGCATATATCTATGATCTATATAATTATTTTCCTGAAAATTGCTTTATAGATATTCATTTTACACAACTATTTTGTTTTTATCATCTTTAGAGTTTATATTATCATTAATATAATTTTTTGTTGCAAATGTTCAAATGATTAATAAAGTTCTTGTTTTTATTTTTATTGTGTTTTATAGTCTATATTACATATTTTTAACTAGCCTTAAATAATTCAATGTTTGAACTCGGATATTTTTAGAAAATGTTGTAAAATTATTAGTGTTCAGGATGCAGTATAGCTCTTTAAAGTTTGCATTTTCTTAATTAATTTTCCAAAGATCTTTTTTTTTTTTTTTTTTTTTTGTCATTTTCGGCCCTTTCCCAGCATCTAACCCATATTATAAACCAAAATCAGGAAAAAAAAGTCAAACAAAAAGAAAAACCAATTTAAACATAATATACTATATCTACCAATAGTTTATTATTCTGCAGATTTCTAGACATTAATAATTATATAAAAGGAGATATAATTACAAAATTTGTGAATTAAACGTAAATTATTGGGGTGTGTAATATACTATGTAGATCAAAACTATATCAGAAGCTAGACTATCAAAAAAAATTGTCAAATTTATGGGCTCTCAAAATTAGAAACCAGGGAATTTGACATTTTTTTGAAAATTAACCTGTTTAATAGATCAGGTATAATATTTAATATCAAATATTTTTTACTTAATATTGAAAGTCTAGTTAATTAATAAATTTTTGAGATATGATAGTTAAAAGTTGTTGACACTATAATCTAAAAATAGATTTTGGTGCAAATATTGCATATATTTATTCTAGAAGCAATCTACATATAGATCTAATAATCCTGTTTAAACAGGTTTGTTTAACTAAGTTAATTTTGAACAGATTATTTTTAGATTGTTTTGATTTTGTATAACCAAAATGTTTTTGCTAAATATCTCAAACCTGTGATTGGCCAAATTCTTTAGTTTCTACTTTTGAAGGTCTATATTCCGAACTCTACTAATATACAGAAATATCTATAAATAGAAATTGGTGTACATATAACTTATACTTGATATTATGTTTAGAAGGGTCTGTATAGTAAAATATACTCATAAGTGATCATCTAAACTTTATCAAATTGAGAGTAACTATAAGGTTATAAATGCTTAAAGCTTAGCAATTACTAATTTAAAAGTTATCTATAAGAAGTATAGAAGATACAGAGAATACAATATAGTATTTGAAAGAAAAAAGCACTTATAGAAATCTAGATAATATTTAGTTGTGAATTATAGACTACTCTAGTAGATTTAGTATGTGAATAGGTAGTATATATATATATTACAGATTCTAAACTTAATTTAGAATATATAGACTAGTTTGAAATTATAATATAATAATTGTAATAGATAATATAATTTTTAATAAATAAATTAAGCTAAGTACTTATCTTAATGTAAAAAATATAAAAATAAAAAGATATATAAACTCTAGCTTTTTCTTCTCTTGTAAAACAGTCAAGTTTTATAGTTTCTTATATTTCTCTAATAATTCTTTAATAATATATAATCTTTGCTCTATAAATACTTTATTTAAATAAATAGCTACAGTAATATAATATTTTACTTTAATACTATTAGAAGTTTTCTTTCTGTAACTTATATTACTTGTAATATATTGAGAAGGCTATACTACTTATAACAGTAATATTTTAAATTAATATATAGACTAATTTAGTAAAGAGTAAGATAAATATATAGTATTCATAATTTATCAAAAAAATAAATTCAACTCTCTTTGATGATTCCTTGTACCAATATTTTCACTGCTAATCTATGAATATTATATTGTTAGTATATTTTTATACAACAAAACTTTACTAAGTAGCAACTGAATTCAAAGGCTTCAGATTGCATGTAAGCAATATGAAACAAAGCTAAAAAAAAAACTGCTCTTTGTGAATTTGGCTCTCTAGTAGAAGTCTATAGAGCT